CCCTGACTCAATCTTTACAGCATTAGAAAATACTATTATTGATTCTATTTTATAGGCAAGGAAAGAGTGACACGAAAAAATCGAGTTTATTTCCTCATTTATGTGTTCATCAAATAAATGCCTCTCTGTGCTGGGCCAAGGGGTTTCAGCCATAAGTTAAGGAGGCAAAACTATCACCTGCAGAGCATAGGGCAAAACTGGGACTTTAGAATGTTGAGATTTTCTTCAGAGCTCAAGTGCATGACCAATAGATGGATTCCTTTTATATGGTGCCACCTAGTGGGAAAGGTGAGAAAATTGCTGAGACAGGTGCGAGCGGTACAGATGGAGAAATTGAGATGAGTGAAATACAGGGCAGGATCAGAACTCCTTCCAGCAATCCAGATCCTTCTGTGCATAAATAACACTGAATACAATAAAACGTTAAGACTTCTTCCCACTTTTTGTTTTGGGGCCATCCATACCTGGTGGTGCTCTGGGATCACACTTGCCAATCAAACCCAGAGTTCAAAATGTGGGGGTGAAAGGGTAGGTGGAGGAGCCAGAGATAGTACAGCTAGTAGACAACGTGCCTTGTATGCAACCAAGCTGGGTTCAATCCCTGACACCAAAGATAGTTTTCCAAGTCCCGCCGGGAGTGAACACAGAACCAGGAACAAGCCCTGAGCACAGCCAGGTGTGGCCCCCAAACCAAAATGAAAAAAATAGAAGTGAGGATGTGGGGAGTCAGAGAAATAGCTCCCAGTGCTCAGCATGATCTCCTTAAAGCAAAATTGTATGGTTTGCCGGGAGTGACCACAAGTATTGCTATGCATGATCCTCCAAAACCCCAAACCTAGAAGCAAAAAGTGAACATGAGGGGGCTGGAGCCATAGCACAGCAGGTAGGGCGTTTGCCTTGCACGCAGCCAACATGGCCGACACAGGTTCGATTCCCAGCCTCCCATATGGTCCCCCGAGCACCGGCAGGAGTGATTCCTGAGTACATGAGCCAGGAGTAACCCCTGAGCATTGCCGGGTGTGACCCAAAAAGCGCAAAAAAAAAAAAAATAAAGAAAAATAAATAAAAAGTGAACATGATGCCTGGAAAGATAGCTCAAAGCGCACGTTTTGCATGTAGGAACCATGCAAAAACTCAGGAGCACTAATGGGGTTCAATACTCACACGTCACTGAAGTATTGTAGGTATGAGCCAACAACAAAAAAGTGAGTGCATTTTCTTTTATAATTAGAAAAGTTTAATAAGTAAAGTAAGTAAAGGCCCTCCCGTTGATCATCGATTTGCTCGAGCGGGCCCAGTAACGTCTCCATTGGAGACTTTGTTGTTACTGTGTTTGGCATATCAAATACATCACGGGGAGCTTGCCAGGCTTTTATTAAATGTATTTGGATTATTATTAAATGTATTAAATGTATTTGAACAGTAGAAAAGGACATTTCTCGCAGAGAACAGCAAAGGAAAAGGTAAGGAAGTGCACTATGGGAGTTCACTGAATCAGAGGCATAAGCACTGAGTCAGCCTCAAGCACCTGGCAGACACTCAGCAAATTCTGGCTGCATGGGTGGGCTGGGAATCCATACAAGCATCCCTTCCCTTTTTTAGGGGGAAGCCATACCCAGTGGTGGTCAGGGGTTACTCCTGGCCCTGTGGTCAGGGGTTACTCCTGGCCCTGTGCTCAGGGATCACTCCTGGCAGTGCTTGGAACCCGGTCAGCTGAGCACAAGGCAAGGGCCCTACCCGCTGTACAGCCCGGTGTCTCCTCCCTTCTGACACACCTCCAAGAAAAGGACATCTTGGTGAAAATTCTTTTATGATAGGGAATCTGACAACTTACTACATTATTGACACATGCGGAATGTCTGTCATACTTTGAAAAAACTTGCATTTCAAATGCTATCAACTCATTTTTCCATTTGCAACAGATTTGTACAGAAAATTAGAAGCACTTCAATAACGGGGTTCTTAAGTGAAACGGCGATGTTTGTTATAAACTAATATGGGTCTTTCAAATGAAAAATACTGCAAATGTATATTCAAAGGGTAGTAAAGCGGGGCCTAGAGCGATAGTACAAAGGGTAGGGTTCTTCCCTTGACCAGGCACCACATACGGTCTCCTGAGCCCCACCAGAAGTGATCCCTGAGCAGTCAAAAGCAACCCTTGAGCAGTTGTGTAACCCCTGCCAAAAACCAGCTGGGTCTTTTAGAATTGACCAGTTGGGTCTTTAAGATTATACTGCTGTGGAATTTTCAAATTTTCAACTTTCTCAGGTGAATAAGCCATATTCTATTTTTTTTTGTGAGATGGTTCAAATCACTTCTGGTTGTGCTCAGGTAGGTGATGCTGGGGATTGAACCCGCGCCAGACACATGTAAGGCAATGCCTAAACCCTTATTATTCTGCCCATAATCTATATTCTAAGCCCCATTGCAGGGCTGGAGTACATGCTTTATATGTGGGTGTGGAGGCCATTTCCTGGCACTGCAAGGTGCCTCACAAGCAGTATCAAGAATAACTGAGCACAGGGGCTGGAGATAGCACAGCAGGTAGGGTGTTTGCCTTGCACACGGCCAACCCAGATTCGATTCCCAGCATCCCATATGGTCCCCTGAGCACCGCGCCAGGAGTAACTCCTGAGTGCAGAGCCAGGAGTAACCCCTGTGCATCGCCAGGTGTGACCCAAAAAGCAAAAAACTGAGCACAGATAAAGTATGGTTCAGAACCCAACCAAATCAAAACTCACTGTTCTAAAACTGACCTTCGCCATCTTTTATAATACCAGACAGGTAGGCATATTGAGAAGAACATTGGACCACTTATCAGATGGTAGAGAACATGTATGTTTGTCCTTGTTTTGAAGCTATACACCAGGGTGCTTGAGATTAAATGTGGCTTTCCACAATTAATGCAAAGCACGCCCTTAGCCCAAAGCATACTTTGCATGAGCCCAGCATAGACTGGTATGACAGAAAACCCAAAACAACTACCAAAAAAACCTCCCAAATCAAAAGAAACCAGGCACAAAAGGTAAATCCTTAAATATGAAGTAGCTGTGAGAGGCTGGGACCGGGAGGTGATCACAATGCTAAATGACTGATGAATAGCTTCTTGGAATGATTATAAGTTCTGGGACAGGGCTGGAGCAATAGCACAGTGGTTAGGGAGTTTGCCTTGCACGCGTCCGACCCGGGTTCGATTCCCAGCATTCCATATGGTCCCCCAAGTACTGCCAGGAGTGATTCCTGAGTGCAGAGCCAGGAGTAACCCCTGAGCATTGCTGGGTGTCACCCAAAAAGCAAAAAAAAAAAAAAAAAAAAAAAAAAAAAAAAAAAAGTTCTGGGACATAGTGATGGTTGAAGTACCTTACATATGCCACGAAGCTGTACTCTTCTCTTTTTGGTTTTGAGCTACACCTGGCAATACTCAGGGGTTACTCCTGTCTGAATTCAGGGATCATTCCTAACCAGGGGTGGAACCCGGGTCTAGCCACATGCATGGCAAGTGCCCTACCCATTGTATTATGGCTCTGGGCCACCACAAAACTTTGTTTGGGATTCTGGGGCCACATTCAATGGTTCTCGGGGAGCTACATGGAGTGCTAGAGATCAAACCAGGTCAGATATGTGCAAGGCAAATGCTCTGCCCACTGTATTATTGTTCCAGCCTTGGCCACATACTGAATTTTTTCAGCCACACCGAGCAATGCTCAGGGATTATATGGGATGCTGGGGATTGAACATCCCATATAGTTGGCCATGTGCAAGACACGTGCCCTCCCTGTTATACTATGTCTCCACCGCCCACACACTGAATTTTATCTGAAAAATAAAACTACAATGAGTAGAGTATGGTATGAAATCCACTAATATAAGAAATCCATAATTCCATTTTATGTAATTAAAAATTACATTAATATTTACCATAATTACTGGAATGTAAACTTGTCTATAAACTACAAAAAGGAACTACCAAGCATTGCTGGGTATGGTCCAAAAGCAAAACAAAGTTACATTAGCTATGTTTTAGAATGCCTTTTATACATTCAAGTGATTAATACATTCAAGCAGCAGTATCACTACTTGATAGTGGAAAGAAATTTTGGGGCTCCACCCAGCTTTGCTCAGGGACTGTATGTGGTACCAACGGCTGACCCCGGGTCAGCTGCATGCAAAGGAAATATCATACCTACTGTGCTCTCACGCCCTGTAATAGACTGGAAATAGGACACATCAAAGAAAAGATGACATTTATGGGCCACAGAATTAGAGTGCAGGAGGTATGCCAATTGCCTTTAATGAGGCTAACCTTGGTTTGAACCCCTGGCACAACACATAGTGTCTCAACACAGGTAGGGGTCACTCCTGAGTGACCAAGAATAGCAACACCCCTCTTCCCCTAAGATGACATTAAACATGAAGCTGCAATTTATTAAAGCATATTCAAGTGTGAACCACCAGTGTCAAGGGGTCTAGGTTAAAGGACCACGGGTGACAAAGACAGCTCAACGGACTAGACTGCATGCTTTGTGTATAGACTCCAGGTTTGACACCAGACACTGCATGGTCCTCTGAGCACTGCTGGACCTGAGCAGAATTGCACTGTGGGGGCCCAAATATCGAACTTTCAGGCCTTCATAGCTACCCTGAGGAACTGCTTTCAGAAAGTACTCACCTTAGCCCCACAAGAGAGGATTCCCATTTAATGGGAAAGGTTTAAATAGGAAAAATGGTAACAAAGACAAATTCCACCACTTCATGTGTTAACATATGCATAAGGAAGAAACAGATATGAGGAAATCAGTGTACATGTACAGTAAATTAGTGTCACCCCCTAGAGTCCAAGTGGAACAAATATTCAACGAATGAATAACTGAGATAAATCCTGTAGGTTAAGGAAGGTTAGAAAATGAATCATCAGCTTTGGCAATGTGATTATTACTAATCTTAAGAGAAACTAAGCATACGACTGAAAGCCTACTGAATAAAAAGTGTAAGTGAATAAATGGACTGAAAAAATGTTTTATTATCTTGATGTAAATACCTTAGTATTTAGTTTGGTCACATTTGAAGGATTTAACACCCACCATCTCAGAAACTTGCTTTTCCTACACATTAGAATTAGAAAAATAAAGTCATGTAGAAGATACCTAAAACTCAAGTTGGCAGAGACATACTGGTTGTATCACCACAAACAGAAAGATCATTCTAAAGGTTGGAATGCCTCCCCGGCAATGCACGAAGCTTTATGTCCTAATCTTGGCATTGTGTGGTTCCTCGGTAGCACGAGGTATAGCCATGGTGGCCCTCAAGCAGCACCACATTGTCATGCCCAAGTTCCGAACTACGTAAGTATTACCAGAAGTGGCCCCGAGTACTGCCCAAGAGGTCCATGGTCCCTGGGGGAAAAAAATAAACTTTTATCAATCATGCAGTTAGTCCAGGATATTTGTGCGGTCCCAACAGTAGCAGCTTCATTAAGTCTGTCTTTGTGGTCTCAGTAAGGATGCCTAAGTATATATGTAGGCATTGCTCACCTGTAATATTCTCTCTACACACAACAGTTAACTTGGTTTGCCTAGTGTTATGTACTTTCCAATCACATTCCTTCACAGTACTTAGCATATTATTATAATAAACATGGTAAAACCTTAATTTTACCTTTTACTGCCCTTGTTCAATTTTCACTTTGCCAAAGGTGTTAAGGTGAAAGGTAATCACTTGAAGTTTTTCAAGACAAGTATGCTCCCTGCAGCACTGATTAAGTAAATTTAAGTGACCAACATTTTTAAATTTAGAAATTTATTCTGTTTAATCCACAAGCTTTATATAGCTTTAGTTTAAAAAAACAAAACAAAAAACAAAAACAGTGAAAACAAAGACACAATTTCAAAGTCTGGGCCCTTCCAGCTTTCCAAATACAAGAGCTCTGAAAGTTGTATATATCAATTGGAAGAACTGACAAAATTATGAATGGAGCCATGACATTTCATAAAAAAAAATTTTCTATCAGTGAAGGATCCTTCCTGGGAATAGTTAATTGCCTTTACAAAAAGAAAAGAGAGAGAGAGAAGAGAGAATGAAATTCCAGTGTTCCAAATCAAGTTGTTACACATCAATATAACCCCACAGTGTCCTGGCAAAAAGACATGCTTTTATTTTCTGACTCATCCTATATAGAGCTCAAATCCTGATATATTTCAGCAGAGACTCCACAGGCAACAGGAAAGATTGTGGCATTAAAATATTTGTTTATACTTTCGTGGTAGTTCAACAGTGGTCTTACTTCTGGGCAAGCTTGCAAACCATATAAAAAAGGTTGGAAGCATCATAACTTAAATGGGTGCTCAGACTCAAACGAGAAAGAAAAGAAAATTTGGAAAAAAAAAAAACCAACAAAAACAAAACAAAAAAACACCCAACTGAAAACCAAAAAAAAAAAAAAAAAAAAAAAAACCCCAAAAAACAAAAAACCCCAAAATACAAATAACCCTCTGGGAATAGCCAGGGGTATTTAAAGGAACCATAAGAATGCCAACAATATTCGAACCCCCTTTTTTAAAAAGGGAATTTTCTTTTTTGGCTTAAAATATTTCATCCTAAATGAATTTATGTCAGCTGTCATTGAAAGAATGTCACTAATACACTGTGGATATCTTTTGCAATGTAAATCCATGCCCCCCTTTTTACATGGTGAATTTCAACCTAGCAATTATTACAACAAATGTTATAGTCTAAAGCTCAAACACATTTTAGCAATTTTGAAATTGAATTGCTTACAAACCAAATAAAATTTACATCGTAACAAACATTTCCACCTAAGACTGTGGGGACACTTGAGCCTTCCGCATTGATCTCAGGGCCTTTTCACGCAGGTGCTTTTCTAAGTCATCCAGGTTATCTTCAGCTTCACTTTCAATCTCCTAAAAAGGGTAAGAATGATGATATAAACATCTCAAGATACATGGTAGGAAATGCAGAGTATAGAACAGAATTGAATAGTGATGTTGCCCTCATAAATGTGAATATATCCAAAGCCACTAAATTTTAAGATTTACTTATTTTTATTTTTGGGTCACACCTGGTAAATGATGTTCAGAGGTTACTCCTGGCTCTACACTTAGAGATCATTCCTTAGTGGGGCTCAGGGGACCATATGGGATGCTGGGGATTAAACCTGGGTTTGTCACATTCAAGGCCAAGCACCGTACCCACTGTACTATCATGTCAGCCTCTAAATTTTAAGCTATAAATGGGTGAATTATATAATACAAATTACAAAATACAAGTAAGTGTTGCCATTCATATTCTCATCCTTGGTTTCGGTCAAATTCCTAACAGATCCTCAAGAGATTTAAGTCCAGTTGCTAACTACTAGAAAGAAAATTGCTTAGCTACTTCTGAAAAACCAGATTTGGGGCCAGAACGATAGTACAGCAGGGTAGGCGCTTGCCTTAAATGTGGCAGACCGGGTTTGATCCCCGGCATCCCATATGGCCCCCCCAAACACCGCCAGGAATAATTCCTGAGCTAAAAGCCAGGAGTAAACCTCTGATCATCCCTGGGTGTGACCCAGAAGGAAAAAAAGAGAAAAAAAAAATTCAATAATTTTACTCATATAAACTGTTAAAAGTAGTCCTTAACCATCTTCTTTATAAAATTAAATACCTTCTTGGGCTCTGGCTCTGCTTCAGGTTCTTCCTGTGCTGATGTCGTTGTAGGAGCAGCAAGGGCTGCAGGGGTTACAGGGACTGCAGCAGCTGCAGCTACAGCCTTTTCTTTCTTGTGTTTTTTGTGCTTCTTGTGCTTCTTATCTTTTTTGTGTTTCTTATCCTTCTTTTTCTTCTTTTTCTTCCCACCTCCTTCTTGGTCCGAATTCTAGAATTCCAGAAAATATAATAGCAATGAAGTCAATCTGATTAAATTCTAATTATTTAATTTCCTCAAGGCAATGACTAAATAGGTAAATTTCAGTATTTTCTAAGAATTTAGGTGAATGAGTGGGTAGAAGCCCAAGGCTAGTAACTAGCAAGCAAAGTATTCTAAGAGACAGAGACCATATAATGAAAGAGTTGGAAAGGATCTTGAAAGTAACTGATTTTACAACTTCCCCCAATTAACTTCACATTAAACCACGCTTTCTAAATACAAGCTGTGAATCAGGTTTCCTAGAACTGATATGAGTCAGAATCTACTTCCATATCAAAGGAGAATCAGCACATGAAGTAGGAAGTAAAGCCTCTAGAATCAAGTAGGCCAGGTGAACCGGATCCTGATTCCTGAATCTACTTGATCTTGGACAAATTGTCTCTTTTTTTATTCAACCTAAAGTGGTCATAATCCCAAATTGCCTTGAGGATTAAAGAAGGTAAGTCACCCACAGATTTATCAATGATCATGCAGCAGGCATTTAAAAAAAAAATAGCAGATTTAAAAAAGGTATTAATAAAAAGGTATACAGTATAAATGCTAAGACTCTGGCCTCATCTGTCCAATCTTTAAGGTTGTATACGTTTTTATTATTTTTAAGTTTTGGGAGCATATCCAGCACTGCTTGGGGACCATCCTGACTAAACGAAGGGGGTCATTCATTGAGTATAGACCAAATCCATGCAATAGGCAGGCTCTTCAATAACTTAATCTAGGCTCTGATTCATGAATTCACATTTTTAAACAGTTACTCAAATTTCTTAATATTCCTGCACAGTAACTCAATCAACTCTATTTAAGGAGGACATCTAACTTCTGCTTCTAAATGATCACAATTACAGTAGATGCATCTAAGAGTGTAGATACATACCCTTGCCGGTGATGGGCTTGGTGTTGGGCTTTTAGCCTTTTTGACTGGTACCGCCGGGGACCAATTCGTAGAGGGTGACTGAGACTGGACAGGGGATGAAGGTGCTGGGGGTTTTTTAGCTGCTGGCTCAGGGGATCCTGAGACAGAACGGGAAGATGAAACCCTCCTTACAGACTGAGGGCTCGGCGTGGCAGTCCTAGAGAGAAAAAAAATTCATTTAGAATCTAGAAACAATCTTTAAAAATATTTTCTTATTTAGTATGTGACTTGATTCTACTAGCGCAAATGAAATTTGTTTCATGGGCAGCAGTTAAAGCCCCAGTTTTCTATCCATTCTTGGTTCATGATTTTTACACGAAATTAGTAATGTCAGTTTCTATATTTTATTTAAGACTACTTTTACTAGCATCTTATGGGTACCCAAGAATCAGTCTATACACTTCAACTAGCTTTCTACTGATACCTGAGAAACAGTTTATACATTTTAAAGTTTAATTTAAGCAGCATACTACTCAATAAACGCGAATCTCTGAAGAACCAAGTAAAATTCTGTAGCTTTAAATTGATGCCATAAAAACAATTATGCCTAGAATTTGCCTTAAAAGTTTATATTTACTGCTTACTATTTTTGTAATTCTTTGTTAACGAGAGAAAAAGTCTCCAAAAAACTATGCATGCTAGGGTTCCTAAAGAAAAAGCATAAAATATTTTTACTTTTTTGTTTTTTTGGGTTCCGGAGTCCTGGAGACTCTCCTAATGGGCCTAGTACTTGGAGATGGGGACTGCCTTCTTTGGGGTGATGATGATGCTCCTCTTCGAACAGGCGGAGGACTAGAGGAAGTCTGAGGAGCTCGAGGCCGTGGTGAGGGCGAATGCCGTTTGTTTGGTTGCGGTGACCGGGCATCCCGGGTAGATCTGCTTGGGGAAGATCCTTTCCTATGCTTTGACGACAATGAAGGTGAACGTCTCTTGGTGACAGGGGAGCTTCTTTGTTTGGGAGGTGGAGAATGGGAAACCCGACGCTTTGGTGGTGGAGATGGAGATGCCCTTCGTTTAGGAGGAGGAGGGGGAGAAGTTGTTCTTCTTTTCGGAGGTGGAGATGGAGAGTATCTCCTCTGTATTGGAGGAGAGTATCTTCTTGGGGAAGGTGAGCGTCGACGCGGGGGAGGAGAGGGAGTCCTAGGAAAAATAAAACAACAACCTGAAAGAACACAGAGAAACTAACCAGCTCTGGCTACACTGCAGGTAACACCATATGAAGTGAATATATTTTTTGGGGGGTGGTCTCCACAGGTGGTGGTGCTTAGGGGACCATATATGCTGCCAGGGACAGAACATAGGTTACCACATGAAAGACAAGCACCTTACCCTCTGTACTATCGCTCAGGTCCCAACGTGAATATATTTCTTAGTGGAAATGCTACAGTCTTAATCTTCATTAAAAACAAACAAACCATTTAGTACAATTCCAGGTCGGGTATTCTAGATGACTACAAATGGTTAATGAAGGAACTAGCTACAAAACAAATCCAAATTGGTCATTTAACACAAACTGCATGGAATCAATTGCATTTATTATTTACATAAGAAGTTGGTTTTATTATTATTATTATTAGTTTTGGGGCCACTCCTAGCAGGACTATGTGGTACTAGCGATTAGAGCTGGGTCAGCTGTATGCAAGGCAAATATCCTTCCTATCTTCTGGATTATCTTTCCAGCCAAACAAGTTAATTTAAATAGTGGGACTCTAATAACTGGTCAACTTATTCAAGTTCTGTGTTTTAAAGAAGTCTCATACAGTATTCTCTCTGAACTGGCATTTAGATTCTTAATTCTATTTTATGGCACAAGCTTTGAAAATCTAAATAGGGATACAGTTCAAAGTACTACTGTACATGCTTTGCATGATACCTACGTTTCAATTCCTGGCACATGGTTTTCTAAGAACCACCAGGAACAACCCCCAAAGCAAGAAACCCCTTGGCATCACCAAACTCAAAAAAATTAAAGGTTACTTCTACATGGTATGGAGCGACAGCATAGCGGGTAGGGCATTTGCCCGGCACGTGGCCAACCAGGGTGTGATTCCTTCGTCCCTCTTGGAGAGCCTGGCAAGCTCCCTGTGGCATATTCAATATGCCAAAAACAGTGACAAGTCTCACAATGGAGACTTGCTGGTGCCCGCTCGAGCAAATCAATGAACAACGGGAGGACAGTGCTACAGTGCAGTGCTACTTCTACATACCTGTTCCCCTCACAGCCATGACTCATGACTATTTTATTTTTGTCTCAAAACTCCACTTTTCTTTTTAGGAAATGAGAGAGGAAGCAAGCAATGTATTCAACAGAGAATGTGGGCTTCTGTAGGAGACAGCTCAGGGGATCCTATAAAGTCAAAGAATCACATATCCCAAGTTGAGATAAGCATAACCCCAGAATGGAGTTCTGCCTCAGAAAATTGCCAGGTCACACTTGGACTGCTAAGAGACCAAAGGTGGGAGTCAGAAATCTAACAAGAGTCAGCTGCATGCAAGGAAATGCCTTAGCCCTTGTATTATCTCTCCAGACATTAATGAATTTGGGACTAGGGAAATGATCCTCTGCGCACTGTCAGAAAAGAGCCCTGAGCACTGGCAGCCCAGAACAGCACCTTCCACATCCTCCCACCCCACAAAAAATATTGTTAGTACCTAGAAATTACATGTTGCCAGTAGGCATTACCTGTATGTTAATTTTTTTCTATTCATTGAGGAGGTATCTGCTGGGAAATCTCTATTAAACTAAAAATCTCCGTCTGCTCTAACTAGAATCTAACTCATTAAAAATCTGTGATCCACACTCATTATCTGAAATTATGCTCTGGTGGTTTAATTACATCCACAGCTGTATATCCGTTTATTTCTCAAACTTACCCACACTGCAGGTACCACTACTCTTTTGTGTGTGTGTGTGTGGAGAACCTGACAATGCTTACAATACTGACTCAGGAACTACACCTGGTGGTGCTTGGGGACCATAGGGATGCTGAAGATTGAATCAGGGTTGGTCATGTGCAAGGCATATATATACTCAATGTACTACTGCTCTGAGCGACCAATCTATTTTTATCTCCACTGATTTTTTTTGTTCCAGATTTTTTTCCCGGGCCTAGTGATACTCAGCAATTACTTCTGGCTGTGTTTGGGGGAACATATAGGATGCTGGATATAGAACCCCGGCTGGCCACATGCAAAGCAAGAGGCCCAAAAGTTCGTATTTTTCCAGCTCCTGCTCTAGACTTTAAAACTATAAATGGGATTAATGCATGTTTTTAATACAATGATAAGACTAATAATACACATTTGCACCAGCTAGGATATATACCTTCGTCGTGGTGGTGGTGTGGGAGACCTGCGACGTCTAGGAGGAGGAGCAGGAGAAGGAGATCGTCGTCTTCTGGTGGGAGGTGGGGAGGGACTTCTCCTACGTCTACTACCACTAAAGTAAAGAAGAATTATGGTTGATTCAGAGTCACCAGCATTTGTGATTCAATGATCCCCAAAACATAGTTTCAATCATTTACTCAAAAGAGCAGTAGCTATAACTGTCCCTCAAAACATTGCTTTTCAAACTACAGATGAAAACACCCTAGGCGACAATTAGTGTAAAAGGCCAGAGAAACAGCAAAGGGGTTAGAGCACTTGCCTTACATGTAGCCAATTCCAGTCACCAAATATACAATCTCTGAGCACCGCCAGGGGAGACCCCTAAGCACAGGGCCAGAAGTAGCCCCTGACCACCAGCAGGTATGGCTCAATATCCCAACCCTGACAAGTTAACCATCATAAAAAAGAAAGTCTTTTTTTGGGAATCAAACCTGGGTTACATGTGCAAGGCATAAGCCTTACCTGCTGTACTACTGCCTGGGTCCCTACAAAATATTTATTTTGCTTTTGGGTCACAACTGGCAATGCTAATGGGGCTACTCCAGGCTCTGATCTAAGGAATCTGATCTGGCGGTGCTCCAGGGAGAATACAGGATGACGAGGATCAAACCCAGGTCAGTCATGTGCAAGGCAAACACCCTACCTGCTGTATTATCACTCTGCCCCCTCCCACAAAATATTCTTTTTTTGGGAGGGGGGGTCCACACCTGGCAATGCACAGGGGTCATTCCTGGCTCATGCACTCAGGAATTACTCCTGGTGGTACTTGGGGGACCATAAAGGATGCTGGGAATAGAACCCGGGTCGGCCGCATGCAAGGTAAACTCCCTACCCTCTGTAGCCCCAGCCCCTCCAGTCCCTCCAAAATATTCACTGCTTTGTGACTAAAGAGATAGTATAGTTTCTAAAGTTTATGACTGGCTTTTTTCTCTTTAGAACAAAGGTTAAGAGCGAGAGCGGCAGTGTAAGTAGAGTGCTTAATCCCCAACATCCCCTATGGTTCCTGGTACACTGCCACAAGTGACTCCTGGGTGCAGAGCCTTAAGTAAGTCCCAAGATACAGCTAGAGGTAGCCAAACCTCATAGATACCCCCCCTGGATCCTGCCAGGAGTCACCCTGAGCACAGCCCAGAGTAAGCCCTGAGACACAGCTGGATGGGGGCGGGAGCCCAAAATGCAAAAAGAGGTAAAGACGAGAAGCTTCTACTGAATGAAATGTTAATACTCAAAGGACAACAATTTTACTATTAGGGTCAATCTGAAGAGTATGTTAAGGAGCATTAAACACCCAAAGAGAACTGTTTAAAAGATAATGTTTTTCAGTATCAAAACTTTGCATATAAAATACCTCAAGCCAGGGTGCATTTTCCTTCTTAAAATACAGTAAGTAACAAGTAACAAAGCATATTTCCAAGTAATTCTTTTCCTGTCTCTACATCCTAGACCCCTAATGACAATTTTACTTTTGGGACACAAGCAGTGTGCTCAGGGAACCATGCGATACCGGGGATTGAGCCTGTAAGTCACACAGTTTGTAAAGCTTCAGCTGGTGGAGCTGCTGGAGTGCTCCAACCAAATCTTTAAGTTATCTCTCTGGCCCCTAGCAACAATTTCTAACTTGTTAAACTCCAAGATACTAGTTCAAGTATCTCTTAGAGAGACAAAGACATAATGGAGCAGGATAACGGCCAGTTACTGCTTCATTATTTTAAATGGGGGGGGGGGGGGGGGAACTCCCCTGAATACAGTCCTATTATTTGTATGTTAATGGTGTGCTCAGAGAAAGGAAGAAATCTTAACCACTAACCTAATTTAGAAGTAAAGCATTTAGTTGCTGGGCTAGCAATTTTAAAGAAGCCATAGTTGAAAACAGAATTCTGTAGCATCTACACTTAATCTTTTTTTGGATCTTCATTTTTTATTAAGTCACTACTATAATGAATACTGTTTTTGCTCCATCCATTAAGACACTGCTGACTGGATCCAAAGAACCTTTCAATAAACCACTCCATTAGTGAGATTACCCAAAACAACCTTAAATTCATCTACAAAAACAACACTATCTGGCTGGAGAGATAATACACCACGTAAAGCAATTGCCTTGCATACAGCTAGGTTCAATCCCTGGCATACAGATCCAATGCCAGGAGTAAGCCCTGAACACTGCCAGGTGTTCCCCACGCCAAAACCAGAAAAACAGAAAGATAACATAATAAATGAGCTATTTGGAAACCAAGGTTAAGGATACAGCTCATCAGTAAAGCCTGTTCATGCAGAGACCAGAGTTCAATACTCAACCCTGCTACAAAACCTCAATAAACCATGGTTTCCTTTATCTAACAAATATAATTCTTTCAAAAACACTAAAAACAAGCCTCTGCATGTACATTACTTTGGTACTGCGGGTGTGGCCCAGAGGCAAAGCACATGCCATGCTGTCAAACCAGAGTTTGATCCACAGTAGCACAATAAAAATTAAACTGTATACAACTTTATTAATTTGATGTGTCAAGAAATACAAACAAACGAAAACAAATGAAAACTTTCTCCACAGCTGTACCCAGTGTATATCCATAAATAGGGCAAGACTGCCAAAACAGTAAATTCAGTCACCAAAACTTTGACAAACAACCCTTGTTTACAAAGTAGTATCTAACCAACCTTTTAGTCATTGGCGATTGCCATCGCTTTCCCATCTGCATCCTGAGAGCAGTGGAGAAAAACAAATGTCAAGAACTTCATTCACCACATTATTTAACGAAGTTAGACTTTATCACTAACAGAAACATGTTATCACTAACAGAAACAATGTTTGAGATATTTGGGAATTAATGTTATGAATTTAATTGGCCTATTTTAAATCATGCACATGCCAGAAGGTAGAAAACACAGGAAATTCTCATTAAATAGCAACCAACCACCAAACAAAGCAAAGCAAACCACCCCAAAACAAAATCAGACCACCTCCTTCAGATGCCCTTAAAATGAAGGAGTTTACCAAATTCTAAAGTCAGTTCATAGCTTATCCCTTAGGTTATAAAGCTTCTTCACAACTTCAGAACGTTAGTGAGGATTACTGAAGAAAAGACATTACCGAGGGGAAGTCTCTTTCTGGCGCTTCCTTGGTGATGGAGAGGCACTCCGGGAAGGGGAATGTCTCCGTCGTCTGCCTACCTCACCATTCTTCACATGTGATCTCTTGGGTCGCTCATCTTCTGAAGATGATGAGGAGCCAGAATCTAGTAACAGAGAAAGCATTAAGTATTTTTTTTTTAAATTTATTTATTGAATCACTGTGGGAAAGGTTACAAAGCTTTCAGGTTTATGTCTCAGTCATGCAAATATCAAACACATTTCCCTTTACCAATACTTATTTTTTCCCATGAAGAACCCCAATAAAACCCCACCCCCCACCCCTCCCCGTCCCTGTGAGGCAGATGAATTCTAGTTAACACTCTATCCGCTTTGATTAGATTGTTTCAATAAAAGATTCACCACTATTATTTAGAGTTTACCCCCCCCCCCCAAATCAGACATGCTGAAAAAGCATTGTGAAGTGATTTGAAAGCATTAAGTATTAAGCCCACATTAAGACTCTCAACTTATGAACTGTAAGTGAATGAAGAGTTCAATCCACTAATGTAAATAAGCATACAGAGAAACCATTCATTTTGAACAAATACAGCATCAATATAGGCTCATAACTTAAAAACTGAGCATAAAGAGATCACGGTTATGATATTTAAATCATCTTTACAGCATAATTCAACCAAAACAAGTGTCCCTTAGAACCACAGTGTTGGGTCAGAAATATTATGGTGGATACTTGCTTGCACACACAGCTGACCCGGGTTCAATCACTGGCACTATACACAGTCAGTCCTACAAGTCCCACCAGGAAAATCCTCAAACACAGAGCCACCCATAACCGTCCCTTAGCACAATTTTTGTGTTGGCTAGGGATGAAGTGCTCAGTGATAGTGAGCATGCCTTACATGTGAAAATCCTGGGTTTGATCCCCAGCACTATTAATAAACCCATTGAAAGACTTATTAGTATTTGAACAATTTATGTTCATTATCCCTGGTATTTATCAAACAGAACATTCTAAGTGACACTTCCTACTAACTTGGTAGCAAATGTCCAGAACACCTTGGAGAAAAACTTCTGTTTACATGTTTTCCTCAAAACAGCAATTGTAACCAATTATTCTATTAAATGCTCAGGAATTACTTTTGGCTCTTGCACTAAAGAATTATTCCTTCACACATGCTAGGGGAAAAGGGAGCTCAGATAGAGAAGGGAGCACCAAATAAAGGGTGTTGGGAGGATCTCCCAGGATGGGAGAAGCATGCTGAAAGTGGACTATAGACCAAACATGACTGCCACTCATTGCCACTTTTGCAAATCACAACACCCAAAAGGAGAGAGAAAGAACAAAAGGGAATACCCTGCCACAGAGGCAGCGGGGGATGGGGTGGGAGGGATAACTGGGATCCGTGGTGGTGGGAAATGGGCACTGGTGGAGGGATGGGTATTTGATCATTGAATAATTGAAACCCAAGCACAAAAATTTGTAAGTCTACAACTGTATCTCATGGTATCTCACTAAAAAAATTAAAAAGAAATTATTATTCCTGGTAGTACTCAAGAGGACCGTAAGAGACGCTAGGGATCAACCCCAGGTTGGCTGCATGTAAGGAGGTAAGTGCCCTTCCTGCTGTACTACAGCTCCAGCCCAACAAATTTTATTTAAAAAAAAAAAAAAAGTTCCTAGGCCAGAGGATAGTACAAGAGGTAGGGTATTTGCAGTGCACGCAGCAGACCCAGGCTTGACCCCCAGCACACCATATCACCATATGGCCCAGAGTTCCGCCAGGAACAAATCTGTGAATTGTAAGCACTGCTGAGTCTGGCTCGCAACACCACCACCACTCCTGACTCCCTCCTTACTTTGTTGCCACATTTGGTAGTTTCCAGGTTTGCTCCTGACTTTTCTGCTCAGGAGAACAAATTCGGCCGTGGCAGATCTACTGAACCATGGCTAAGCTGCAAGCAAGGCAGCTGTCTTATCTGCTAAATTATCTCTCCAGCCCCAGGCTAGTAAAGTGAACAGGTCTATGAAAGAACAAAGAGAGATGTCAAAATACTAAGAGTTAAAAGACACTAGAGCTGAGATGATAGTATAGCAGATAGGGCATTTGCCTTGCACAGGGCTAACCTGTGGTTTAATCCCTGGCATCCATACGGTGCCCTGAGCACCACCAGAAGTGATCCCTCAGTGAAGAGGCTGGATTAACTGGAACACTGCATTGCCAGATGTGGCCTCTCCCCCCCCTCAAAAAAAAGTTAAAAGACAACATGATCTATTATTTGAACTTAACAAAAGTCAACAGAAGTCTTTGTTGACTTTTTGCTGGACAAAAGTTTTGGGTTAGCACCAGAATATTAAAGCAGGCAAGGTGCTTGCCTTGTATGTAACAAACTCAGGTTCAAATTTCGGCATCCCAAATGGTTCCTGAACCCGCCAGTAGTGATTCCTGAGTGGAGAACCAGGAATAATCCCCGAGCATAGCAGGATTGGCCCAAAAACCAAAACAAAGACAAAAGAAGAGCTAGCAGATAGTATAGCAGGTAAGGTGCCTTTCCCTTCAAGTGGCTCACCTGGGCGGGGGTGGGGTGTAGAGGATTTTGTAAACAATTATACATCTGTAATCTTACATTTGTTTTGTTTTACAATGTTTTCTAAGAATCTATTTTCTAACAAAAATGTCAAATCAAGAGTCCATACCAGATGAAGACTGCTGGTTCTGTCTTCGGTACTGGCGTCTTTGTTGAACAGAATCTGCCGCAGCCATTTTGCCACCTTTATCTTCTTCTGAAAGATGGATATATTTAGAAAGTGTTTCTTTAGTTGTACAAATACAGATGCAATTTAGTTGAATAGAAACACTGGCCCACACACCCCAGTTCTGGAGACAGGGATGAGACAATGTATGTCAGGGATAAACTGGGGTCCACAGGAATGCTGGGCATGCTCTCCAGTGGTATTCTCTCTCTGGCCCTGGTCTCTCTCTCTCTCTCTCTCTCTCTCTCTCTCAATGTAATACTTCTATTTATTCAGCCACTGATTAGCTGAATTCTGCACGAACTCCACTTTTTTTTCCCATTTTTTATAATTTTATTTATTGAATTACTGTGAGAGCAGTTACAAAGCTTTCAGGTCTAAGTCTCGGTCATACAATGAAACACCCATACATTCACCAGCGCCCATTCTCTACCCCCAACAACCCCAATATACCCCCATCCCACACCCTCCCCCTACCTGTGGGGCAGATGATTTCCACATTACTCTCTCCCTACTTTGATCACATTCAATATTTTGACACCAGACCCACCATTATTATTTGAGATTTTACCCCAACACTCAGATCTGCTGAAAAGGCAACAGTAGGCAATTTGTTTTGTATTGCTGGTTATGAATAACATATGGTGTAGCATGGCTACAGTAGTGGCCGTGCTATTTTGAAATTCTGAAATTTTAACACTTAAATCTGGAGGGATTTCTGCTAAAACCTGCTGGGTTCTGAAATTTGTTCCTGAGTCTCTGGGATCATGGCCATTAAGCAGCTTGATCAGGAGCCAGACAATGGGCGGTAACTTGGGGTCTCGTTGGAAAGGAGAGGACAGGACCGACTCCATCCCCATCCCGTGAGGCCCAAAATGTCTCGTCACTGCAGGCCCAAACCTGACTGTCCAATCTGGCCCTGGTCTCTTAAACTTTTATTTGGCTGAGTCAAGCAATGCATTTCCCCCCATTGAGTAATGGTTTAAAATGCCAATTAAAAGGTCTGGAGTGATAGTACAGTGGGTAGGGAATTTGTCTTGCATATGATTTACCTGGGTTTGATCTTTGACACCCCATATGGCCCCCCAAAGTCCACCAGGAATGATCCCTGAGTGCAGAGTCGAATGGTAAGCCCTGAGCACCACTGGGTGTGCCACCCACCCAAAAATAAAGTACAACGCCAATCAAGGCTATATTTTGTTTGGTGGGAGGCCTACACTCAGGGGCTGTTCAGGGACAACACCCTGCATATTGCCTGGGGAATACTCTCAGAAGCACATGGGGAACATGTGGTGCCATGGATAGGCCTCCGGCATATAAACTATGTGTTCTACCATTCTGAGTTGCCTTACAGGACTAATTATGGTTATATTTGCCAAACGTATATATTTATGTAGTCATTAGGCTGGGTTGTTACTTCATGAACATTATTTTAATTAATCATCAAAACCCTACAGCATGTGCCGCAGACTTCAGAGATCCACACCTCAAAGATCAAAAAAAGAGGCCCAGATATATTAATTAGAACAATAGGCAACAGTTAAGGACAGATTAACTAATACAGATTAACCCTCCCCAACCCCTTTCCTCCAAAAGGACAAACCCCCCCCCAAAAAAAAACCTTACCTGACTCTGATAACTCCACTTTTCGAGGCTTGGGTGCTGGTGAAGGGGATTCTCTTTTCTCGGTACCTTTATGCTTTGTGACTTTAAAAAATAATTTTTAGAAAATGAGAACGGGCAAACATTTCCCTTGTCCTAACCCCATTTACCTTATCCTAACTCCGCCCTCCAAAAGAGCTACAGGGCAAGATATCTGTTTGTTTCATTTTGTGGTCATACTGGAGATACTCAAGGGACCATATGGGATGCCAGGGATCTAACTTGGGTCAGCCCCAAGTACAGCCCGCTGTACTATCCCTCTGGACTATTTTGGTTTTAAGGTCTCACCTGGTGGTGCTCAGGGGCTATTCTTGGCTCTAGTGACCCTTGATAGTGCTTGGGGAACCATATGTGGTGCAGAGGATTCAAACCAGGGTCCGCCATGTACAAGGCAAGCACCATATCTCCAGTATTTTTTGTCTCCAGCCCACAGCAAGAGAACTTAATAGAACAAATATAGATGATTATTTCCATAAAGAATTTGAAAATGAAATAACTATTTCTTGCAAGATCTTGTTATCGAAACAATACTTAAGGTGGAAGAATTTTCAAATGTTTGGTGCAAAGTCTATAAAACATCTATATTACATTTAAATCTCAAGATTCTCCCAAAGAAATAATAGTCAAGATCTGAGTGGAACACCTCTGAAGACCACACCACCATAAAATCTTTCAAGTGCCAACTTCAGGTGAATTAAGAAAAGTAATGAAAGAGGGCCGGAGAGATAGTACAGTGGGTAGGGTGCTTGCATTGGATGAGGCCAACCCAGGTGGGATTTCCTGGATTTCCAGTACCCCATATGGTAACCGGAGCCCCACCAGGAGTGATCCAGCCTAAAACATGTGCTATAGTCCTTTGAGTTATCTCCCTAAACCACTATTTTTCATTTCACCAACCTTCAATTCTTGCAAAAATAATATGACATTTAATTATGAACCCACACATCCAAATTACCTATTAGAACTGAGTTGTAAAATATTTTTGTAAGAATACATTTATCTACGATACATCATAGCAGTGGTTATGTTTGCAAGCTAGCTGGCAAATAAATATCTACTTAGTAAATTATATAATTAACCTAACAATCTGTATTTTTCTTCCTCGTGGAAACAGTTTAATTCTGATTCAATCTCATTAATGGAATAGCTAAAAGAAACTAATTATTGTTAACATATACTATTAGCCAAATATATTAACTAAATATTAGCCAAACATATACCACCTTGCTTTTAATAACTGAATCATAGAGCTAGCTAGTTTTAATGTTTCACCAAAGTCTTTGCTTATTTATCAAGAGATTGTTTGCTTTGTTATGCTAATAGTTTCCCCTTCTTTGTTTTGGCAACACACTGCTATGCTCAGCTGTTACCCTGGCTCTGCACTCAGGAGTTATTCCTGGCACTGTCTAGAGGACCACACCTGGGGGGTGGGGGTGGGGGGGTCAGTCCTACCAGCTGTATTATTCCTCCAGCTCTTTGTGCTAATAGTTTTTATTTTTAGTACCTCAAGGGGCAAAATCATTTTAGCATGAAGTCAGAAATCTTTTAAGTCAACTGAAAAACATTCATTTAAAATTTACCTCAACTCCTATTAATTATTAATCTTCCAGACTGGCCAAAAAGATGACTTGGAAGATAAGTTACTCTGACCATAATCAGAAACCATTGTCTGCAAAATACAACTTATATAGCTAAATTTATAATTCAAATTACCACAGTGGTACAGATTTGGGGGGGAGGGGTTCTCCTCAAGAAGGGGAGACCCATTGTAATTACTGGTTTTGGCATATCGAATACACAACGGATAGCTTGCCAGGCTCTGCCGTGTGGGTGGAATTACTCTCGGTAGCTTGCCAGGTTCTCTGAGAGGGATAGAGGCTTTTGGGGCGGCCCCTAATCGCCCTTGTAGGTGTTCCCATGGTTCAAACCTTATTTGAACCCTATCAAATATGGTGCAGCAATAAGAATTCATCTCTAAATATACAATCTAAAATCTATTACATTCCAAAGTCATTGCTTTACATTCCAAAAGTAATTTTCTGAAATCATACTACCAAATAGAGCAGCTAAAATATGTCATTCTTCTAGCAATCAAATCTGGGGTTCTGGGGTAAGAAAGTTAGGCAGAAGTATTTGTACTAGTGGTTGGAGCAATAGTACAGCGGGTAGGGCTGTACCTTTGCATGTACTTGCCTTTGCATGTGGCTAATCTGGGTTCGATCCCTGGCATCCCATATGGTTCCCTGAGCACTGCCAGGGGACAGAGTGCAGAGCCTGAGTGCAGAGCCAGGAGTAACCCAATCAGGATAAGAATCTAAACACCTGTCCTGACTAGTTAATTTTTCTTTTTCTGTTCAATTTTTGTTCTCCCAAGTAGTTTCAGGGTGTCCTAGAGACTGTTGACCAATTAGGACAGCAGTACAATGTTTCAGTCCTGTGATAGGTTCTTGAAGGGTCCTGTACCTGGTGATGCTTGGGGGTCCAAGCACTCCAAAGACCTGAACTGGATGGGGTCAGAGAAATAGTACAGAGGGTAGGGCACTAGCCCTGCATAGTTGACCAATGTTTCAATCCATGACACCCGATATGGTCCCTCCCTTAAGCAAGGCCTGAGACAGAGTCAGGAGTAACCCAGACATTGCTGGGTATGGCCCAAAAACAACAAAAAAGGAAATGAACAGAAGTCAGTTGAATACAAGTCATGTGCCTTAACCCCTGTACTATCTTTCTGATACCAACCTTGCTTTATGATGAAAATCACTAAAGATTTTTTTTTAGCCCTGAAATTTCATTAAGCCTGAAATCATCCTGAAATAGTAATTTTCTGTTCAGGGACAGAAAATGCCTCTCCCTGTGCCCCCCATCCAACATCTAACTGAGAATAGCCCTGAGCACTGCGAGGTATGGCTCCTCTCCCACCTCCAAACAAAATAATTGTCTTCAAGTATCAGAATCAATATTAGCCTCAGTAGACATAAGGGAAAGCCTTATGCAAAGCCACAGTATATGACTCTTTAGATACAGAGTTTTGTTTGGTCATAGATCCTGAATTCATAGCATACAATCAAAACTGCTTTCCACCAGAGTAATTTCTCTTTCATGTATATAGCTGATATTTCTGATAAGCAATAGCCCATTACCCCTTCACAATACATCAGAATACAAAATTAACTATCTGCAGACTCTTAAGGAATAAGTCCTGAGCACTATAGGGTGTGCCCCCACACAACAAAAAAGACCACACACTTAACTGCAGCACAAAATCAACAGTGAGAAAGTCGGAAATTAATCTGCATATTACTCTTTTGCTGGGGGTGGGGCTTGACACCTACTGGTGCCTAGGAGATCATTCCATTTTGAGGCTCTAACTGGGGTTGGCATGATGCAATGCAATGCCTTAACCCCTCTATACTATCTTTCTAGCACTCACATTATTACTTTTTACAGGGCTGGAGTGATAGCACAGTGGTAGGGCGTTTGCCTCGCACGCAGCAAACATGGCCGACACGAGTTCAATTCCTCTGCCCCTCTCGGAGAGCCTGGCAAGCTACAGAGAGTATCTCACCCGCACAGCAGAGCCTGGCAAGCTACCCATGACGTATTCAATATGCCAAACACAGTAACAAGTCTCACGATGGAGAGGTTACTGGGCCTGCTCGAGCAAATCGATGAACAACGGGAGGACCGTGATGGACTGTGACCGTGATCATTCTTTGCCAGTCCCCTGTTCACTGGTAAGTTTACTAAGTGTATCAGTTCAAGAAAAAGTAAAGCAAAACCGCCTTTCTAAGAAATCACCATACTGGAGGAACAGATTAGGTTGGGGAAATAGAGGAAGGAACAAGGTAACTATAAAGTAGGCAGTCTTTCAGTACCTGTATTGCAAACCATACCGCCCAAAAGGAAAGAAAAGAGGCGGACTAGCGGTGGGGGGGTGAAGGGGGTGGAAGGAAGGAAAATGGGGACATCCGTGGTAGGAAAAACCCAGTCATGGACAATTTTGTAACTGTGATTAAAAAAATAAGTAAAAGAAAGGTTATTAAAAAGCAGGATTTGATCAAGTTCACCAAAATATTTAAAGCTCTGCTTCGCAGTATTTCTTCTTTTTTGGGACATAACTGGTGGTACTCAGGACTCACTCAGACTACTCCAGGTAGGGATTGGGGAACATGAAGTGCTGGGGATTAAACTCAGAAGGGCAGGGTGCAAGGTATGCATCCTACCTGCTATACTATATCTCTAGCTCCTACTCACTATTCTCAATTCTGCTGACACTTTAAGAAATTTATTTTGAGAAGTGAGGGAAGACAGAGATGTGTTCAAGATAGAACCCATGTTTCACAACAGGGAGCAAAAGTCACTACTCTCACTTTCAACCTGAAAATTTAATGTCATCAAGGCAATCCCAGTATAGATTAAACCTACAAAGTGCGTTTAAAGTTTACCTATCTTGGCCAGGGAGACAATAGACTCTTGCCTTGCTATGTGGCCCACCCTGGTTCTATCCCCACACTGCATATGATTCTCAAAGCACCACCAGGAATAAATTATTCCTGAGTACAAACAAAGCCAAGAATAAGTCCTAAGCACTGGATGTGGCCCGTAGGTCCAGGTTTAACCCTTGGCACTGAATGGTCCCAAGCACGCCAAGTATGCCCACTCTCCAGCAATTGATAGCAGCTTTAACCGCCTCCCCCCAACCCCAATACCCCCAACTCACCTTTTAGGCTTGTTTTACCATTCCAGCCCTAAGTACCAGAGTCCCTGAAATTCAAATAAATCCCTGTCCCCCCCACCCCCAATATGTACTGAACGCTAAAAGAGCAAACCTCAGTCAGTAAACTACAATCTTCAATAATACCAACCCAGTATTCTACTTGCCTGATTGCATCACAGATCATGAATTTCTCAGAATTCAAGCTTCAAAAGAAAGGACAGCTCTTAGAAGGATCCTGCCCAGAGACTATTTTTGTTTTTTAAATCAGTCTTTAAAAGAACACTGCGTCCTTCTCCGGGAGCACAATTTGCACAAGAATATAAAGTCTTATAGTAATATTATCAAAAATATCTTCAGAAGGAAAAGTTAACCAGTCTCTTAAATTTCTCCACCCACTCAATACCAGAAGGCATTGCTAAAGACAAAAGTTTTACAAATAATTTCAACAGACAGAAGAACTTAAAGCAGGAAAGAAAAGGTAAGCCTTTAAGCAAACAAAGAACATCACCCACAAATATCATGTAATATACTTCAGACTTTTGAGGAAGAGAGTAACTTAGAATGAGGCACTTTATACAAAGAACAATTTTTAAAAAATGTGTGGTGGTTTTTTACCTTTACCTGAAGTTCTCCCTGGAGAGACAGAAACACGACTTTTTCTTGTACGGTTTGACTGCTGGGGTGTTGGGGAATGACGAGTTTTTGGCGGTGGACTTGCTGGGGGTGACGGCCTATGCCTTCTCCTAGGAGGACTTGTTGAAGGAGATAACCTACGAGTTTTTCGAGGGGGGCTGGATGTCCTCTTAGGAGGCTTCTTTGGCGGTGACCGGGAACGAGACGAAGACGACGATGAGCTACTCCCAGACAAAGATGCTGATGAACGCCTTCTCCTGTGAAATAAAAGTATTCATACCCATTGACTATTTTTTAAAGTCTTACAGAGATGACCATTTACACAAAGATACAGCTATGTTTATCTGGACTTTTGAGTTTATGTAGCTAAGCACATAAATGAGTTTCATAACCTATGAGAGGAAACAGCTAGTTCTAGAACTAAACAGAACTTATTCTAATAATTGTCTTTGTAGTCATAAAATATGCCTGGTACTATAATAAAATAACTAACCAGTCTTCATTCCTTAGGAATGGTATCAGTGTTTTGGAGTTTGCATATCAAATATGGAAGCTAAAATGTTTTCAGTTAGTTAACACAATGTCAACCTATAAAATGCATTAAAAAAATGCAAGACAAATTCAATTAGCTACATAAACTTAGAAGCAGGGGCCTCTCGAATTCTGCGTTAAGTTCTGTTACAATTATGTGTACCTGCAGAATTCACCTTTGGCAGAAGAATTCCTGAGAACCTGAAAAAAAGAAACCCTACCTTAAGTGTGAGATAAAAACTGGCTGAAAGGGAATCTTACACAATCTGCAAATATTTTGACTGATAATAAGCACAACTAAAACACGCTATTTTGCAAAACTCCAATATAAAAAAATAGCTATTTCCACTAGTCCTGCACTAAAATGCAATAGCAATTTGAAATTTTAGAAAAAATGCGATGCTGAAAAAATGATGGGGCGTATTGTAAATATTACACTCTGACAAAAACCTTTTACAGAGAAAAATCTTTGTTTTTGGGTTACAGCTAGCTGTGGGGGGGGGCATATGTGGTACTGTTAATGAACTCTGATCACCCACATGCAAGGCAAGTGCCATACCTCCTCTACTAGCTCTTTAGTCCCAAGAAAAATCTTTTTAAAGCACAATACTGAAAATTTACTAACACAGAAATAAAAAAATTGCTGAATTACTGTTCCCATTTCTAAGTTTTCTAAAAAAATAAATCCTTAAATGCTCTCAACATGGAGTTGGAGAGATGTATCGGAGGCAAGGCTGCCTTGCATACTGCCAACCCTGATTTGCTCCTGGGTACCACATTATATTCCACCAAGCATACTCAGGAACAATCCCTAAGCATGGTGCCAGGCATATGTCTGGCACACAGAAGAGTATAGCCCAATCTCTCCCCCTACCACAAAGAAAATACTCCCAAGATAATTTAAAGTATAACCATAATTCCTTTCAAAACCAAGTGAAAGATAGTCTCAGGAAGACACAAAACTGCCAACCCGGCAACTGTCTTTTCATTAAATGATAGAGGCTAGTATTTTATTTTGTGCTAATTAAAAATGTTTTATTAAGAAACACTGGTATTAGCAGTTACATAATTTCATTATAAAAATAACAAGGTAATATTTGTGTCTATGAATTATATGTAGTAATCTTCAATTTGAATTGCCACCAATAAATACCTCTCTAATGAAAAACATTTTGGGGGGGGGGAAAAAGGCATAATGCAAATGGATTTCAATACTGGGAAATACAACTCTCTGCCCCTCCCTGTAGCACTATAGCAATTCAAAAGTCTAACGAAAATGGATCACAGACAATTCCTTTCCTGCAGGATTTCTTTTTTTTTGCTTTTTGGGTCACACCTGGCGATGCACCGGGACTACTCCTGGCTCATGCACTCAGGAATTACTCCTGGCGGTGCCCAGGGGACCATATGGGATGTTGGGAATCGAATCCACGTCGGCCGCATGCAAGGCAAACGCCCTACCCCTGTGCTATTGCTCCAGCCCCCCTGTTGGATTTCTTGGGGAGACCTGAAACCAATAAAAATGTTAGGGCTGAAAAAATAGTATAGTGGGTAGGGCATAAGACTTGCACCCAACCAGCCCAGTTAAATCCATGGCATCCCATAATGTCATTGAGCCCACCAGGAGTGATACAATAGCATAGAAGCCAGAAGTCCTGAACACTGCTGGAGTGTGGCCCCAAAACAAAAGAATAAAAATGAATATACTGTTATGAACGAACAGAATAACTCAAAGGGGATAGAACATGTCTTGCATGTGGCAGGTGCAAGTCTGGTCCTTCACATTGCATGGTTCCCCAGCACTGCCAGAAGTGGCGTCCCCCCCCGCCCCCCAAAAAACAGCAAAACCCACTGAGTGGCCTGGAAAAACAGTACAAAGGCTAAAGGTGCTTGCTTATTATTAGCACGTGGCTGTGATTTGGTTTAAATATCAACAATGTGTATGGTCCCCCAGCATTGTCAGGAGTGGCTCCTAAGCACCATGAGTGTGCCCTCTCCCGCAAAATCCAACAAACCCCTAAAACCCACTTCATCCAAAAAACAAAACAAACCATGTATCAGAGTAAGACAATGATTTTCTTATCTATTCTCCTACTGGTGCCTGTTCGAGCGAATTGATGAATAACGGGATATCAAGTGATCAAGTGATTCTCCTACCCCTGGACTAGTACTGATGTTTTTTAATAGCACAAATAGCAGCATTATACTGCAAATCAGATGGGCTCGTAAAAAGAAGTTAACACCCACAAATTCTTTCTTCTAGATGTACAGTAGTAAAAATGAGTACAAAACATGATGTACTTTTATATACCTGACACGTTATAGAACTTAAAATTCTCACCTTCTCACTGGAGATCTGCTTCTTCTATGCCGTGGTGGAGGTGGCATTCGTCTTGGTGGAGACCGTCTTCGAGGAGATGGACGCCTTCTTGGGCTTGGCCGCCTTCTAGGTGAGTATGATCTGCCACATCAGAACAAAATTAAGGGCTGAATATGCTAGGAGCAAGGGAAAAATCACTTGATACAGTTTTAAAATTACTTAAAATAATTCAAAGTACACAATTTTCATTGATGACTTACATTACACAGAAAATGTCTCAGTAACTATATTTTTCTCACATTTTAAAATTACTTATGGGGGCTGGAGAGATAGCACAGCGGGTAGGGCGTTTGCCTTGCACACAGCTGACCCGGGTTTGATTCCCAGCATCCCATATGGTCCCCTGAGCACCGCCAGGAGTAACTTCTGAGTGCAGAGCCAGGAGTAACCCCTGTGCATCGCCAGGTATGACCCAAAAAGAAAAAATAAATAAATAAAAATTTTTAAAAAAATTACTTACGGCATTCTACCTGAGGATAGCGCATAATCTAAGGAAGAGGGACTCCCAGTACCACCAAAAACAAACCAACTCAAAGAACCAAAAAAGGGGCTGGAGAGATAAGACAGTGGTAAGGCACTTGTCTTGCATGCTATCAACCTGGGTTCGATCCCCAGCAACCTATATGGTCCCCTGAGCTCTTCCAACAGTGATCCCTGAGCACAAAGCCAGGAATAAGCCCTGAGCATCATCACTGGGTGTGACCCAAAAACAACTTTAAAATAAATAAATAAATCAAAACCTACATTGATCTTAAAGCTGTTACTCACCGTGATCGGGATCTGTGGCGCCGTCTTGGTCGAGTATGAGAAGGAGAACGAGAACGTGTTCGAGATCTTGATTTGGATCGTGACCGAGATCTTGGTCGCGTCTTCTCCTTTTCTTTTTCCTTTTTGGAATTTTTCTCTGGAGAAGGCTCTTTAGGTTCTGGTACAGGTTCAGGCTTGGGAACTTTCAGGATGTCACTGTAGAAACAAAAGTTTGTTACTCTTCTCAAGACTTCTGAGTCATAATAGATGATGTAGCTCCAAAATAAGATGCATCCGTGAAATCTAGTATGCAACTAACGCTTTTGGCGAAGATACTCACTGGGTAGAGAAGAGAGAGGCAGTATATATGCAAACGAGAACACCTGCTTCTCCAGAGTGGAAATTTGAATCTCTTTGATAAAGCTAGTTATAGCATTTTTTAAAAAACTGAAAGCGTAATTTAATTTTTGTTATAGTAGTACAAAGCTGTTGATTTATAAATGGATGTTTGCGCACTTGCCTAGTAGAAGTGGCCTCTTGTACTGAAGGTTCCTTTACTTTCACTGATGGTTCAGGGAGCTCTGGAGTTTTTTCCTTCTTTTCTGGAGCAGGGGAAGGACTCCGGCTCTTGGTTCTGTGACGGGGAGATCGAGAATGACTGCGCTTTCTCTCTCTCCTGACAGGGGAAGATCGTCTTCTAGGGGAAGGAGATCTGGATTTGCGTCTAGGATGAAAGCAATTTTTTTAGGTTTTTGGAAAATGTCGATTGGGGAAGAGAATCAAAGGGAGAAGTGACAACTTTTTAATTTTACCACTGTTGTTTATATCTGAAAAGTTTATGAAAACAGATAACCTATTACAGAAACTTGATAGAGCCAAGAGAAAAGTAAGCAGGGGAAACAGAATATTCTCCAGAATACCAATTATGAAAACAAGCACTGACATGGGCTCTGGATTTAGATTCGTAATCATTTCCAGAAAGACTACAGACGAAGACAAACTTAACTTTTCAGAGGAAGGGGATTCTTATAAGTGTTTTTTGCCTCACATTAAATCAAACCCAGCAAAACTAAGCTTAAATGTAGACTTTCCCCCATTGGAGTTCATCGGGTAGATCTAGGTATTCAACAAAATAAAACCTTACTAGAATAATTAAAGCAGCATCAGAAAAGAAACATCAAACTTGTGCGAAATATTTTTAGATGAGAAATCTTTTCTTTCCAACAGTAGGTTCCCTCACTTGAATATAGACCAAAAAAAGAAGGAAAAAGAGAAAAAAAATAAAGAAATAGTACAGCAGGCCCATCAAGAGTTATTTACCACTACAGTGATTTGTGGTTAATTCTAGAAATAGTATTGCTTCCCTAATGGTTAAGTTTCAGTATCAGAATAAATAAATGAAAGGGACAAAGAATTACCTCCTTCCTTTATTAATTCCAAGATTAAAAAAAAAACCCTAAAAAAAAAATGAAAGCCTAATGGAATTCTCACCTTTCACCACAAATATAGTAGAAGCTGAGTCGAGGACTTAAAAATGTGAACCTAACCATAGTCTCATTGGAAGGAAGAAGAAAACAAATAAATGATCTGTTTTGGGTTCAGTACAACCATCTGAGAAAAGCAGAACAGGGAATTAGGTAAGTATAATGTGAATGGTCAGTGGGTACAGATTTATAGTAAAAAGGAAATATAGAGGAAGTTGAAGTACACTGAATTAAATACTGTTTTTAAACCAAAGCCATCTGGATGATAAGTCTAGATTTCAACTTAGGAAGTACCAGTTGAATAATGCACAGGTTTCTTAGAAAGTAGTAAAGTGATCAGTTTCAAGAGGAAATATTTTAGTCCAAAGAGCAGACAAGTCTTAGCTCACTATAAAAACTATGATGAAAGTCCCTAAATGCTGCTATGAAGTTCCCACCCCCTTCTCCCTCCCTCCCTCCCTCCCTCCCTTTTTGTCTGTTCCTGGTGCAGTGCTTGGGGGACCATGCACTGTCAAGAATTAAACCCAGGGTTCCCATTAACAAAGGGATCCAGCCCTTCGAACTATTTCCCTGACCACAAGCTTCCTTTTTATTTATTTTTTGTTTTTTGGGTCACACCCGGCGATGCCCAGGGGTTACTCCTGGCTCATGCACTCAGGAATTGCTCCTGGCGGTGCTTGGGGGACCATATGGGATACTGGGAATCGAACCTGTGTCGACCACGTTGGTTGCATGCAAGGCAAACGTCCCACCTGCTGTGCCATCGCTCCAGCCCCCCCAAGCTTCCTTTTTAACTGTGCTAATTTTTCTACACACACAGTACCTTAGGACCTATGATATTTGTAACACAGTAGGTACACATCCATTTTATTATACCTTCTTGGGCTTCGGGACCTCTCTCTTTTTTCTCTGCTGCTTTCTTTTTCTTCCTTATCCCTCTTATCTTTGTCTTCATCTTGCTTTTTCATAGATGCCAATTTTTCTTGTTCAATCTGCAAAGATGAGGTTTTCAAATCAGCTAAATATCTGCGACCCATAAGTTAAAGCTATTTCACATAAAGCAATATAAACCAATAAATATCATTTCATCAGTCTCTACTTTCAACCTTTTTCATGAATGCTACCCATTTGCTGAAAGTTAATCCCTAGTAACTAAAATGAACGACTATTTCAAGTACTTAAAAAGTCCACCCACCTCTCCCAGGAGCTGAACTCAGGGACTCATACTTGTGAAGCACGCACTCAACCACTGAACTACATTCAGGGCCTCATCTTATTCTTAAGATTTACATGCAATGCCTATATAAAGCAAATGTGCCTAATATTTTTGTATACTCACGTATGTATGTGTAGACACACATAACCCACCAATCATTGGACTGTGAATTACATTCTACACTTGAATTTCTTATCACAGGGGAAGGAGTAGAGAACCAAAATTAAATGCTGAATATTATGCACATGCAGGAAAGTTTAGATATATAAAACTTAAAGTGTCTCAGTTGTTTGTATACCTCTTTGAAATCAACATTAGCAAGAGAAAGGCAATTACCTGTCTCTGTTTTATTTCTTCCTTCTTCAGTTCTAAGAAAGCAGAAGGGATTCCAGCGATGTTTTCTTGTGCACTTAAGAGCAGGGGCCACAGCTCTCCCATAAATTCTCTAGCATTTTTCCCATTCAAAAACCCAGTCAGGTTGATTTGCATCATTTTGGAGTCTGGATTCTGTAAAAAGACACGACAGGAAGATAAACAGGTTACTTCAAAACAAACAAACCTATCAACCTAAAACTCATTTAAATTAGTATTTAAGTCTACCATAGGGGCTCAGATATATATTCTTTATTGTTTTAAAAGTAACTTTCTATAGCAGTTTCTCAGCAATACTCTCTCTCTCTCTCTCTCTCTCTACCATAAGCATCAGAGCAGCCTGTTAATCCTCTGGATTTCTTAAGT